GTACTATGTGGCTGCTGGCATTCCCATTCAGATTGAAGTATTGAACCAAGTAGGCGCGACTGGATGGTCAGCCCGAATCGGCTGTCACACCGATGATCTCAAAGTATGTCTTCATACAAGAATAGCTTTTTTAGCACGATGAAAAATATGTTGATTAGGACTGCGACGAACTCCGTCGTTGGCCATACATTTCTGTATGCAAATCGTTGGCTAGCAAAAATGTTCGACTGAGTTCAGCTTTTGGTGGTCTTCTTTTTCTTGAAAGTCCTGACGGCGACATGAACTCGATTACTGTTCGTTTGCATCATGTCATTCTGACTCCTACCTACGATCTCACTGATCCCAATCGTACGATAACATGGCAATCCCGACGTCACCATGCGCAAGGTCTTTGGGCAGATATTGCTGGCCGACATATCGTGTTCAATGTTCCTTCGCAGAGTGTACTTCATTTGGATAGCAACCAATTAGATCGCGTTCTTCAGTTTTGGGATGCTGTTGTACTTGCTCATCATGAGCTAAGAGGCACAGAACCGAAACATCGAGAGCGTATCGTATGCGATGAGCAACCTTCGTTTGGTTACATGCGTAAGGATATTGGACTGTGATGAATTTCTTCGCTATTAAAGAACGCCTATTTTAGATAGTGGCTATCCTATCGTCACAGGTATGGACGTGTCTGATCCACATGCTGAAGGATTCATACTGAATGGCAACGAGCTGGAAAAGAACGGAGCATGGGGTCTATTTCATGAGATCGGTCATAACCTGCAACGAGATTCTTGGAGTATGTATGCGATCTGTTGCTTCACTAAGTTGAATCTATTTGAGAAACTATATTTAGCATATGATGGTACTGATGAAGTGACCGTGAATATTTTCACTTTGCACGCGATGGATACTATTTGCCATCAACAAGTATGGATTCATCCTTGGCTCAAGTATCATATGCCGAGTGCACGGGAATATATAGAAAGGGGATCAAATTTTAATGACTGGAAAGAGACGCCTGGCGTTGCTCTGTTTATATATGCACAATTGGTACGAGAGTTCGGTTGGGACAGCTACAAGGCTGTCTTTCGTCAATACGAACAAGATGAGCCAAATCTTGATAGTGATCAAGAAAAGATTGATCATTGGATCGAAACTTTCTCGCGCCAAGTAGAATACAACCTGGTTCCATTGTTCAAATTCTGGGGTTTTCCAATTTCACAATCGACTATCGACTCCCTTAGCGATCTGACAATCCCAGACATCTCCGACGAATTTATCGACATGGTACCAGAACGTTATCAAGTATAGATTTGTTCTAATGAATACAGTAAACAAAACAGACGTATGTGTCGATTTATTGAACTGAGTAATATACCAATATGATACATATTCTACTACACATTAAAAACCAAATAAAACTTACGCTTGAGCACTGATCTCTAGGGTGTGGGTGTGTGTCTTCTGCTCTAACACACACACCCACACTCATAGCCTATTAGTTGTAATTGTTTCCGTTTGACTGATCGTAAATGTTCAACATATCCACCAATTGTAATTCGTAAAACGATTTTCACAAGATACTACCTCATGCTATATCATGACTTTAAATACTGCGAAACATTTCTTTCCTACCTACATTGATGAAAGCATAGTATCGGTTAGGTAACTTACTGATTAAATTGGGTCAATATGACAAAGCTCATCAGATTTGTGATATTATGCCTAGCTAGACAGCTCAGAAGCATCAGGACGCACATGTTTGTCATATGCTTGAAATGATCACGAATAGTCAAGGAGGATATTCAGAAGCAATTACATTTGACAAAAATTCAATCGAAATTAATCAGAAGATTTTTCTCTCCAACTTGCCTTCACTTAACTGCGTCGCACGACAACATTGGTGTCGTGTATGAGACAATGAATGATAATTCACAAATACTATCATCTCATGAAGAAAAGCACTTGCAAACCGCCAGAGAACTCTTCCTCCAAATCATACTACTCTGACTTCTTCTTACAAAAATATCAGTTTGATGTATTTTAAAATAGACGAGCACTCGAAAGCACTTTCATTGCTTAAAAAATCATTTGAAATCTATCAATAAACTCTTCGTTTAAATCAAACGAGGTTGACTTGGTGTTGCAAGAATATTGGTTCGGTATATGTTAATATGAGAGAGAATACTCGAAAGCATTTTCGTTTTATGAATGTACTTTAAATACTGGGCACCGTTTATTACTTGTAAATCATCCGGATTTTCAAATGTATTTTAAAAAAAGTTGAAAGAATACGAAAAAACTTAATTATCTATTTGAAAATAAACTGTTCGCAATAGAAGACAAAGAGTTTGTTTAAATCTAAATAATGCATGAGCGCGTCCAGAAAAATTCTATCTTATTAATGACGGAGATGGATTATAATATACCAATACTTGTGCGTATGAGTATGTACGATAAGGACGTTCATAGTATATTTGCATCCGAACATATAGAGTTTTCTTATGTCAGAATAGAAATTGTCATATCGATAGAAAAATAGATTGTACAATTTTAATCGGTTTATAATATATCTGTCTTATTTGAAAACAATCATATCATTATATTCACTCAATATCAGATAACTTTAACATTAATAAAACGTCAAACATTATATACGAAGGATATTTGTGGACGATCCAAATAATTTCTTTTTGAGAATGTTTCCTATGCAAAACTTGCTACAGGTGTAATGATTTGTTCTTTTTTCGATTAGAATGAAAAATAATAGAGAACTACACATCCATAAAATTTGTAGCTTTGATATATGTGTGAGATGTTTTCTCAGTCGCAAGATATTAGTGTCATTACATTCATACGTTTAGAATGTACCAATTTTTTTATTCTGTCTACAACAGAGGTCGAGCCAGAGTGGGGCGAGGCGAGGTCAAGTTAAATCCCCGAAATTTCCTCGTGATAAACTTCCATTCTGAAAATGTCGATGCAGAGATCATACATCTGAATAATCGATGTCACAACTTATAATTGTTGTCTCTGTGTTGCTCAATGTTATCTTCTCAACAAGTTCAGAGCCCAGTGCATGTACAACCATTGGATAGACTAAAGTATTTCGAGAAAGAATTTTCGTGATAATTGGCCATTAAGATAAAACTGGTTTCGAGAAAAGCGTAAAAGCTTTTTACCTGTATTTGGTCTACTTATCATTAAACATCAACATGAAATATCGCGATATCATGTGCTGCTCACAACACATATAGCTAATAGGAAGTGCCGGTACCCATACCTTTTTCTTGTGGTTTTTTCACTAGATTCGCAGCTTGATATTATTGTAGAAGACTTAAGAAACTATTAGTAGATCTCTAGGAAATATTTCAAAATGGAAAGATGTTTTATGAATCTTTAAAGCAGACACCTTTACTAACATCTCTACATTGAAGTGTAAGATCAGTGGATGACCTCACATTGTATTAAGACGTGGGGAGGCAAAGCCGAAGCGAGGAACGAAATTGTCTTTCCATTTCAGACTCTGATCTGTAATTAATTTTGGCCAACAAAAGTGCAGAAAACGGGTAAAAATCAAATATTTTCACCGTTCAATAGGCCGACTCGCGGTCTTCGTTCCAAGACAATATCCGTAATAGACTGATCTATGAAAGTTTAGGAAAATATCTCTTTAGTAGAATTCGAACCGATGAAAATCAACTAGTTTCCACTACGTTTCAACAATTTTCTTGCAACCGTTCCAATAACATACTTTACAAGGTGTTCCAGCCGGCACCCATCAACGAATTCATTGAAAATCTGCGTAAAGCTTCTAAGTAAAATCCAATTACAAAGGGTCTCAAGTACTTAATGATATTGAAAGGATCAACAACAGCTGGAACTGAGACTATCCATTTTTTAACCGATCCGATACCCTGACCGATTGAGACGTCAGGGTTCATTGTGAATTAGTGGATAATGCATAGCTGACTAGCGAAGATCTTGTTCGAGTCAATCTTTCAAAAGCAGAAGGTATCAGTTTATCGGCGATCGACAAAATTTTCCTCATTTGCCCTATAGAAGAGTTGAAGCTGTCAAACATGCTCTAGTATTCGTATTCCAAAAAATCGAACATTTCCATCGCTATTTTTTGACAAAATGAATGAATTCGCTATTGCAAGCTCGAATTGTTCTATGCAATTTCACTCAAGCGATTGAAGATATCTGCGTGCTTGAGTGGATGTGGAGATGTGGGTGTGGGATGTAGGTGGGTATGAAAGAATAGAAGATACATCCACATCCACACCCACACTCACACCCAGAAATTACTCAGAAATATGCGATAGAATGATGTAACTATGATAAAATAATTTATATAAACAAATGAATAGAAAAAAAGCTTGTACGAGGAGAAAAAATGAAAATGTGTCTTTCGCTTACTTACTAAAATGCGAATAGAAGCAATCATTATGATCAGAGTATAGATTTCGACGAAAATAGATAATTCAAGGATGATTGTGGGATAGAAATATTCTTTTGTTCGTTTGCTTCAATGCGTTAGATTCTCATCTAGGAATATCTGGTTTGATATTTCCGAATAATGACGCGGACTGAAATACAAAGTATTTCAACTAAATAGATTTTCTATTAACGTATCTTGATTTTCCTTGGATGAAATTTGAAATTTTTGCGATATTTGCATATGTATCGTTTATTTCTGTGGACGCCATCTATCAAATAGACGCTTTTGAAGATTAATAAAGAACGATTGAGATTAACTCAAAGAAACTTTTTAATTTACAAGCAGAGAAAAGCAATAATTTCAGTAAAACAATTTATCCAATGAATCTATTGCATGTTTGTTTTTTCGACCCAATTTCATTATAATACTATAAGTTCATCAAGTCTAGATTGGAGACATAAAAAGAAAAGAAAAATAGATGAATATTTTTACAATGCATCAGTTCGGTTGTTGAAATAACAAAATATTGTAAGAAATATAAAGAAACAACAAAAAAAAGGAGACAATAAAAATGAAAAACTATATATGTTAAAGTGTATTATTCGTCTAATGAATAGGTTATAAAAACATTTGAACTTTTATTGAGAACAGAGCAACTAACATTCCTTAGCGAACTTATAGAAGAAGTCAATAATGAAAAAATAGAAGTGATATATTTTTGAGTGTGATATCACAAAATGTTTGTTCATAGGTTCGTAGAATTTTATTTCATAAAAACAGTTGTTTTTACTCCAAATATCAATTCAAATATTCATTCAACTTGTTTATAAAATAACTCTTTTGTTTTCATAAAATTTGGCATTGAAACACTGTTTTATACAATTTTTTTTTCATGGACTTTGTAAAAAAAATGATTACGTCCCACATAAAGACTTGCAAGAGAAGAAAATTCTATTTTCATCTATTCCATGAGCAAGAATCGATTTTCGTTTGTTGCCATCGAGTCATTGTTTTTTAATTACCATGGACGAAACCAAAACAACGCCTTTTTTTTTTCATTTATTTCATCGATAGTCTTTTGATCATCATTCCGTTTTTTTAATTAATCTCAACATACGATAGAGTATTGCTATCGTCAGCAAAAGAAAAAAAAAATCTTTTTATAACCATGTATGGTTTCGATTGAAACAGACAAAAATTGCAATCGAACTCTTTTTAACAGAATTCAGTGACATTCCATTTTCATGTATTTTTCTTTCTGTTTTGATGCAAGTATGATATTTGATTTAGTTATTTTTTAGGAACAATGAAATCGGTTTTTAAGAGACAAATCTGTACAACTTGTTTGAAACTATCTGAAGCCTTTGTTTGTCGTGGATGTCATCAACCATTTTGTGCAAAACATGTCAATCGACATCAAGAAAAAATTACCAAAGATATGAATAGTCTTGTTACGAAATGTGATCGATTACATGATGATACAAAATCCGAAAAATTTGCTCAACAACTTCTATCGAATATTGATCGATGGGAAAAAGAATCTATAGAAAAGATTCGAATGGCTGCTCAAACGGCTCGAACTGATTTAAGACCATGGATTGAACGAACAAAAAATGAACTCGAAATTCCTTTTCAGAAAATGATGGATGAACTTCAATCGAGACGAAAATTAAAAGATTATACTGAAATTGATTTGAAACGATGGAATTCACAATTGGCAGAATTCAATGAAAAACTCAAACAACGACCCATTATAGAATATCTCGATTATGGTGATCCACAAGCAATTCATTTGATTAGAATTGCTGATGGTTTAAGTTCCAACTCATCATATGGTACTAATCTTACCTATTCTTCTTCAGAACGAAGTTTGAATCATTTTCAAGATTCACCAACTTTAGAACGAGAAACATTTGGAGAAATTTTTGGAGCAATTACATTAACTGAAAATGATCATGTTGCTACGTATAGTGGTCCTTGGATTGGTGATGCTAGTGTATGTGGTACGAATACTTATTCAACTGGCGTACATAATATTCGTTTTCGTATTATGGAAAAATTCTACAATGCACCATTTTTTGGTATTTCTACTGCATCTCAACCGATGATTGAACACATGATTAAGTCTTCATCGACGAATGGTTGGTCGAATTTCGATTTTCCTGTAGTCAATGGTCAAGAGGAACAAGAAGGAAAAGATCGAATTGTACGGTCTGGTGATGCTCTTACATTGACATTAGATTGTGATCGACGACAAATTTTTTTAAGGCACATTCGAACGAACAGACTTTCACAAATACCGATCGATATTCGTATTTGTCCATTTCCATGGAAACTTCTAATTGTTTTACGACGTAGAGATGATTGTGTTCGTCTTCAAGGTGGATCATTGGGTCTAACAGGAGCAGATGTAGCCAGCCTATTATTGCCTGATCATCTAAAAAGTTAATACAAATTGTCAAATTAATGTCCTAGTCATAATCATTCGTGTCGCTTTCATCATGAGCATCTGTTTTCTCGTTATAACCTTGTTCTAAAGATGCTTCCTATTTTTTTTTCAATCGATTGATAAGTAATAATGTAAGAAGATTGAGAAATTGTGACATGTGTTAAAAATTAATAAAAGCTTTTTAGTGTACTCAATCTGTGTACAGCTTCAGACGAGACTACTCGGATAAATTAACTTGCAATGAAAAAATATGAAGATTAGTAAAATAAGATAATAGAAATCCATTCGGTATCATGAGAAGGTCTAAAATGTTTTCAATGATAACAAACCATGCCGGATATGCCTATTGATTGAATCATCAATATAATTGTGACGTCGTATTTGCGAGTTTAATCACTAATTAACACTTTTATTTCGTGTTGGTTTCAATCCTTGCCATCTATGAAGACAAAAAAAACATTCTTTGAACATACAACGTTAACAGATTCTAGATGTCACATTTTCATGTCGTATTCTATCATTTTCTTTGATATAACTGGCTCATGATGTCCTGTTGATATTCGACAATGAAACTCATTGTTTTCATTTTTTTTTACTACATCTAGTGCTCTTATTCTTGTATTTTATCGATTGAGTGCTATAAAAAACTGAGCATAGAATTTGTTGCTCATCTTAGTGTCATGATTCTTCGCTAATAGAAAGACAAAAGTGATCCGTACAGTGAGTAATATATCTATCTGGTACTCATTCATTAATACACGTTATTGAATCGATACTTTCGTCTCCAACAATGGCTACATGTCGGTTCAGTTACCTCCTGCTAGTTTTCACTTTTAACTATGTACCCGGTTCTCTGGCCGAGAAGGCATAAACGCACATGACTTTATACGAAGAACTACGATCGTAATAATGAGTGATAAGATAACAGCGGCTTTGTATAACATAGTGAAATTTTTTATTTTACAATAAAAAGACAATAATTCGACGTTTCGATGATCTATGACATCATTTTCAAGATTTATTAAGATCTTTGAAAAATTGTACATTGCGCAAAGAAAAGACGAGAAGAGAACAAAAAGAAAAAGAAAAAGAAGAAGAGAAAGAAAGGTAGAAAGTA